ATAGATAGATAGATGATAGATAGATAGATAGATAGATGAACAAACAAAATAATTTTTTAAAAGTCTTCAAATCTGCCATCAAGGACCATATTATATAGTGAACAAGTGAATGGACAGGGAAGGAAAAAAGAAAGGGATGAAAGAAAACAAAGGAAGGGAGGAAAGTAAGAAGCAAGGAAGAAATCCATGAACATGTAATAGCAATCACAGTACAGGTACATGGTATAAGTAGCAAAAACAAAACTTCAAGTTCACCACATTGTTGAGTAGTGGAAGACTTTGGGGTATCACAGTATGGCTAGAACTAGCTGTATAGCGTGGGATGGAAAGGAAGAAGAATTTTAAAGAGAATTGGGTTCCCCAGAGGAAGAATGCTCAGAAACCCTTGGTTGCATGGTGTCCCCGACCCTTTGACTCCTGTGGACCTGGCAATAGTCACCACCTGGAACTAGAAAAGCAGGCAAAGCTTTCCTTCATATGTGCTCACAGTAAAACACACCAAGACTAGAGAATCATTACCTCTACTCCTTCAGATCTTAGTGAAAATAAATGTTAGAAAGAAAATCCTTTAACATCACAGGTGCTGATCTCTGTTTCTCCTAGGATCTATCTCAGTGTTTAATTGTACTTCAGGAAGGACTAGAGAAATGAGGTTGAGATATTCCTCCATGAGTCCCTGCCCTGACTTGGATTTTTGGTGTCCTTCACAGACCTAAGTGTTATGGACATGGTCGTCTCTAGCTTGTCACTAATGGAATGAAATGGCACTTTATCAGGTGGAGCCCAGTGAGAAGCCTTTGGGACATGGGAGAGACTGGAAAGAGGGTGTTGAAAACTGGATTCCCATTCTTTCCCTTTTACTTTTCAACCACAATGTTAGTGGATTTGCTGTACCATGTGTCTCTGTATTGTATTGTCTCACACATGTTTCAGTGCAATAGGACCATTCATCAATGACTCAGAAACCCTGGAAAACCATGAACCAAGATAAGCCCCTTGTTGTCACAAGTGGATTAGTTGGTATCTGTTAAAGCACCGCAGAACTGACTAGTACAGTCCATCAGTAGGAAAATACGTGAGACATGAGAGGAGATGCCTGGACCATCTCCGCTGTCTCCTGCTCTGGATGTTTGAGTGACCTAGAGTGGCTGGTACAGATCATAAGGGTGAGTTCATATCCTCTACTCTCCCTTTTGAGATCTACCCCAAGTTCCCTGAATCTAGGCTCCACAACCCATGTGATAGATGCTTCATTAAGGCTAACCTCAGCAAGCATCCTGAGCACACTGAAGTCACCCTTCCCAGTGGGGCAAGAACAAGAAACCCCATTCTTCTGAGTGCCTTCAGAAAACTGTAAGGGAGACCTACAATGGAGCAAACACTGCCTTAGAGATCTGCCATAGAATCTGAAGCAAAATTGAAGCTGGGTATTGGAAAATAGCTTGAGGATGCATTTATCCCTGAGTGTAGTGAGTCTGAGTCTGAGTCTGAGTCTTAGTTTAGAAAGGTTGGCGGGGAGGGGGGCAGGGAGAGAAAAAGAAACATCTGTAACTCCAGTTCCAGGGCATCAGATTTACTCTTCTGGTTTTCAAGGGTACCAGGTATACATCTATACACTCAAACACACACACACACACACACACACACACAAAGTAAAACTGATCAAATCTTAAAAAATAAAAAAGTTATACATTGCCCCTGAGGAACAATACCCAAAGTTGTCCTTTGGCCCCCATACACAGGTGCATACAGAGGCATATGCACCTACATACACCCATATATACATATGCATACACAGGAGAGATTAAAGAGACAGAGAAAAGAAGAGAAGAATGAGTAGTTTAGGACATGCCCACCTTTACTCCCCAGCTCTCTAGACTGTCAGGGCACCCTGTGCCTCTTTCTTCTAAACCAGCCTTGGACTCAGCAGCTTTGCTGGCATTGCTGGCCAAAATGAACAAACATTCTTTACATCTGAGCACCCACAATCTTGAGAAAATACTAGTTAGTACAAACTCATCACCCAATCCCAGGCAGCCCCCACCCTTCCTTTCCACCCTCAAAACATGAGATATGGCCAATTTGGGAGTGAGCACATCTCTGGAATGTCTCTCACAACTCTTTCCCCATTCAGTCTTACAGTTCCATCTCAGAAACCACACCCCATACATAAGGGAGGCATTATGGAGAGACCCATAGCCTGCAGCTGTACTGTGGATTTAGTAGAGAAAGTACTGGCTTCTCTTAGTAGAAAGTTAAAAGAAATAGCTATTTGTATTCAAATGAGAAGACATGGCAACGGGTGCAAATTTATGAGGAGTTTACTGTTTAGGAAGTTTGGAAATGGATCACCAGAATGGACACTTAGGACCAGTATGTGCTGAGCAGAATCTGTGTCAGGAGCATTAGACAAAATTAACAGTCTGGACGTTTCATTGGGAGCCCTAGCTTTGGGACTCAGCACTGGTGAGCTCTGTGATCTGCATGTGTATAAGCCTAAGGGCCCAGCTTTTCCCAGATAGCCACTCCTGGATGGCTGTCTTGGTAATAACTTTATCCTTGTTTTCAAAACCAATATAAATTGAAGACAAAAAGTAGATAAATCAGCAGATAGAAGCAAATTTATTTCATGTCACTTCAGTTCCAATGCTGATTCCCTGGCATATTCCTCTCTTAATATTTTATTGTTTTTATTTACTCTGTGTGGGGACATGCCAAACTTGTAGAGGTCAGAGGACAAATTGTGAGAGTTAGCTCTCTCTTTCTACTATGTGGACCCTGGAGATGGAACTCAGGTCATCAAGCTTGGTGACACACACTTGTACCCACTCAGCCATCTCCCTGGCCCCTGCCAGCATCTTTTAAGGCAGCATTATTCAAACTGTGGTCCTCCTGTCACCTGCCCCATCCCTTTCCATTAAGCAATATCGGTGGGAGGGGAGAAACACATCTGATATTCAACTTCCCAAGAACACAGAACACTGAAAAACCACTGATTTTATTGGCCACTCGACTAAGAGTCATATAATTTACAGATACAGGGGAAGGTGGGGACAGAGGAAGGAAACTGAATCTAAGGTACAAACAGTATTTTTTCTAATTTCAGGTAAAAGATCAGAACTCTATGAAAGTTCATAAGCATGTTCGATTGCATTACAACTCCATCAAATTTGTATACTCATTCTCGAACTCGTGTGTGTATGTGTGTGTGTGTGAGTGAGTGTGCACGTGCGTGCGCTCACACGTAATTCATCATATGTGTGTGAAATGGTGTCATTCCCCAGGCACTGCCCATCAATTTTTGAGATAGGGTCACCGGCCTGGAATGTGTTGAGCAAGTTAGGTTGTCTGGCCACAAATCCCAGTGATCTGCCTGTCTCTACCTCCCTGTCACTAGGATTATAAGTTGGCCATCAGTGCCTGTCTCCTTTTGTTGTTTGTCTGTTGTTTGTTTGTTATGTTCGGTTTGGGAAATTGAACTCAGGTCCTCTTGCTTGTAAGTAAGCATTTTTCTGACCCAGTTGTCTCCCCAGATCCCCCATTACATTCTACAAACTAAGTTTACACATAACTTCAAAGGTTATAATTATTAAGAGTGGAACAATGACTACATTCTGAGATTCTATTCTAAGATTGTACTATATCAATTCTTCAGAATCTTTCAGGTCTTGGGATGGAACCCAGAAGCCTCATTTATCCCAGTCAAGTATTCTACCACATCCTTAGTCAATGCCAGGCTCAGACACTAAGAAACACACACACACACACACTAAACTCAAAATACAGTATGAATAGAATGTAGAAATCCAAATTTCCATAGCAGCTTTTTATTTTACTTGTGTCTGATTAAGTCATTTTCAAGAAAAATGTTGCCATGGACTGAAGACAACAGGAAATCTCCTAAATTAGCCAAATCCATGTTTTTCTAGGAAGGAAACTTTGAGAGGTGTTAAGCTCACTTACAGTCGTGGAGACAGCATGGCTTGAATCCATTGCTAGTCCTCAGAAAGATTCTTTGTTCCAGTTCTTCCCACACTCCTTTCTCCTTACACCCTCTCAAAGTTTCAAGATCTTTACCCTGAATTCCTTCCCTTAGCAATTTGGCTGTGCAAGCCTTCCAGCAGAAACTGTGTCAAGCGGCAACACTGTTGGCAACCTTAGGATTCAAACCTAGACAGCCAAATATCAACCAATAAAATATCTCCTATTTATGGAGTACCTATTGGATACCAGGTCCTTAACACAGCTAGTTAAACCCTTGCTAGAATGCACAAATAAAATTGCACACCAGACATGGTGCACATCTGTAATTCTGGCATTTGGAAGATTCGGGCTGGAAGACTGTGAGTTCAAGGTCAGCCTGGGCTAATAGCAAGCACCTAGCCAGCCCTAGCTTCATAGAACAGCATGCCTTGGAGAGAAAAACTTTTGTATTCAAAACTAGAGTTTGCCCTGGTCACACAGCTGTAAGTGGTTTAATCATAGGACCTCCTGTAAACTACTCACAATTGATAAGAACTGAAGGGAATTGAGTTCTCCTATGTTTAAAAGGTGGAGAGAGTTGAGGTTTCCAGGAGTTTGTGACTTTTAATAAATTCTTTTCTCCCAGGATAAGCATTAACAGCTAACTTAATGCTTAAGACAGAAACTTGCAATGAACTGCCAGGCGGGAGTCCGTCTCAGAAATTTGCAAGGACGCATAGGAATCTGGTAGACAGCAAGGGCCAACAAGAACATTTGATTCTCCAGGACTTTGAAGTTCTATTCACAACTATGCAGCAACTAGTATGAGGCAGGAGCGAAGAACCAGTTAGAAGAGGCACGGGTGACCAACTGATAGGAAAGTTCCCATGGGGAAAGGGTTGGTGCAGTCCGAAAAGGAGCCGACGCCTCCCGCCCTAGCATCCCACCGATCAATTGCAGCCTGTCCAGAAGCCACACGGCTCAGGGAAGTGGAGGAGAGGGATAGAGCCGCGGGCTCCCACAGCTCTCCTACTTACTTGCTCGGAGGCGTCATCCCAGCTCCGTGCCTCTTCCTGGGACTCCGAAAAGAGAGGCAACCCCAGGCACAGCCCCAGCAGCAGGAGCATGGTGAAGTTGTAGCGCGCGACAGCTCTGGGACAGGGAGGAATTTTCAGGGTGCTGAAGGAACTGAGCCCACAGCTGCAGAAAGACACACACGTTCCATCCAGCCCCGCCTCCACCAGAGCCCCGCCCATCAAGGTCCCCGCCCCCTTTATACCCTCCGGGCCCGCCTATGTCCAGTCTCCTGCAGCACCGCTAGCCTAGGTCACTCCTCCTTGTCCCTTTGGAGGCTCCCGCAAACCTGGTTCCGCCCACTACTCACCGTGAGTTCCCTGCCTCCTAGTTTTGCCTTCCCTAGCCTCTACAATTGTCCGCCAGACAGCTTCCAGCAGGCACCACCTCCAGGTCCCACCTCCAGCTCTTGAGTAGCTAATGGGTCTCCATGATCTCTGGAGGAACGGTCTGCAGATCTGCCCCAGCTGTGTGCACAACCAAGGCAGACTCTGCTTTGCCCCGCTTGAACACCATCGTGCCCTTCCATCCTGCCTGCAGTGAATAGACTACTACTCCTCTTAGGCCAAGCCTTTTCCTGCAGCTGCCAGCACCATCACCCCCAACTCTTCCTTCCCTGATTTCCTTCGGACTTGCTTACTTCTTGTTGCCAAGAGATGGGGAGTCAGCACACCAGGCTCACCTGAGGCCTAAATTTGACAGGTCCCCTCCCTTACTCTTAGGACTTGTCCCCATTTAGAGTCACAAGAAAGGGATGACTGGTGGTCTAAGGCACACAAGTCACATTGTCCCTTTTAATGCCATTCTAGTATTGGGGGACAAGAAAAGAGAGGCAGAATTAGACCTGTGTGGATGTTAGGCCGGAAATGAATGTTACGTATCTTTATTATAAATTGTTGCTTCTGTTCTTGTCTTGCCACAGGAAGGATCATTGCCTATGGACCTCCCATGCTTGACCTTTTAGAACCTGGCAGAAGTCTTTTCTCCCTGTACATGTCTAATGCAGATGAGCTAATGTGCTTAGGCCATCTTGCAAAAGGTAATTTCTCCAAAGACTTATTCTGTGTCTCTGGCAAACTCCATCTAAATACATACGGTGTGAAATGGGCTTCTGTGGCCCAGAACCGGAACATGCCTGCCCCCACAACAGATTGTAGCTAGGTGAGAGCACACAGGAATACACTTGACTACAAAAAAAAAAAAAACAACAACCAGTGGATAATCTGGTTTAAGCTGCTACTCCTTCTTAAAACACCCCACTTACTCTTAGAGCAATGTTGCTTGTTCAGCAGAGAAATTAAGAGAAGTTCAAACAAGCAAACTTGCTGCTACTGTGAAATAAATGAAAGGAAGATCCTTGTCGTTAGCATTAATCATTTAATTAGCCTAATCACCCAGCATCTAAAAAACACGAAACCAGCCGGAAGAAAGCAGCTGCTCCAGCAAGGTTTCTACACAGAAACTGCATAGAAACCTGGCAACAAGCAAGTTGTATATGCCACCACAGTTCTCACTAAGGAAAAGACCAGATCCTCTGTACCATTCCCCCAAGGGAGGAATGGCTGTGAATGGACAGCTCACATTGCAGTGGATGACATCAGGTTATTGGAAAGGAGCGGGTATTGGTTACTGTTATTTGAGGGCTTGAACAACCCTCCATCTTCTTCCTCTCTCACACTCCTTTTACCCTGCCATACAAGGCATGATCATATTTCATATTCACTCACACACACCTTTACATCTTACTTTCTATCAAGTGTTCACTAGCTGAGTTTCACAACAGCAACACCAAGAAATATAGTTTGCTTTCTTTAGATTGAGGTTCCTTCCTCTACCCTGAGCCAGGTTACCGGACATGGTTTCCTTTTTAGCCAGTTTCTCAATGTGATCTGAAGTTCTTTGGATAAAAGCATGTTTTTACAACTTCTAGCATTGTTAGCACTGAAAGAATCTGTTTATGAGTGGAAGGAAGCATGAGACACATGGGATAGATGGGTGGGGCAGGATGCTAAGGAAGGAGAGGGCTGGGCTGCAATCCTTATTTGCCTACCGCTAGCTACATGCCTTGGTAGAAGTTCTGAACTGTCTGTTGCAGGGCCTCAGCTCATAAGGGTTCATTTATAAACCATTGACTTTATAGTGGACCAATGCAACATACATTTGCGAGAGATCATGCTTTGAGTTTAAGGATTTGTTTTATTTTTCCCCCAGCAATATTAGTTGCTATGCTGATATTCCATGATGTAGGACAGCCATATCCATCTGCAGCTTAAGACCAACCATTCAACCAAGAGCATATACAACCAACATGATAGCAGGTATATCTAACCTGTACTGAGAATGGCTATGAATGCAGCACAACATAAAAGTGCAAGCTTAGTTAAAACATTATGAACTATCATTGTGATTTTAAAAACCCAATTGAATGGCTTATGAGCATAAATTTTGAAAATGACTGTGTTGCAATAAAAAGGACTAGACACACCTGCCTCAGTATGGTATATTGGAAATATTTGGGGATATTATATTTTGTGTTTAGCATTGTGTCAACAAAATACTTATCTATATATATGACAGAGATACTCTATGCATAATTATAAAAATAGGTGCTGGTTTAGATGATTTTGCAGACTATAAGCTAATAGAAGTGTTCTAAGCATGTTTGTGATAGAGTAGGCCATGAAGGTCAATATTAGACATATTAAATGCACTTTCCTGTGAACAATGTTTTCAACTTACAATAGGTGTATCTGGCATAACCTCATTTAAAAAGAATCAGCCATGTTTGTAATTCACTTGCTCTATGTCACCTGAGCCTCTGTGGAAGGCTTTCAGGTATAATAGAAATAAGACTCAGTGAAATTTTCCAAGACAGTTGACAGATATTGGCTCCATGCATAAGAATGGGGGGTTGAACTGACCCTCAAATGCGACATAATGAGGGCTAAGGTGTCCCCACAGGTATATGATCTCTAAAACTGTGAAATAAAAAAAGGAGACAAGGGAAAGGAAAGAGGCCAACAGAAGGGGAAAAGGCAAAGGAGATGAAGGTATGAGAGGGTAAATGGTGAAACTATATGATATACTTGAAATAAACTGTCTTTTTCAAACCCATCACCATGCACAATAAATATACACCAATAAAAATCTAAAGTAGGAGTTATAGAGATGCCTCAGTGAATAACAGATCTTTTTGTGAACTTTGGGGATACAAGTTCAAATACCCAGAACCCATATAAAAATCCAGGCATGCTCACACGGTCATTTGTAGTCCCGGTGATTTTGGAGGCAAAGGCAGAGAATCATTGGGGCTTAGTGACTGCCAGCCTCCAGGTGTGGAGAGCCCTGTTTTTATCCATTTTTCTGCCATTACACTTTTTTCCCCACTCCCAACTTTTTTGTTGTTGTTTATTTATTTTTTATTTAAATTAGAAACAAGCTTGTTTCACATGTCAATCCCAGCTCCCTCTCCCTCCCCTCATCCCCTGCTCCCACCTGTCCCCCTAGTCCCCCACTCCACCACCCTCCACTCCCCAGGGAGGGTGGGGTCTTCCATGGGGGGGGGAATCTCCAATGTCTGTCATATCATCCAGGTCAGGGCCCATGTGTCCACGCTGAGAGAGTATCCCTCCATGTAAAATGGGCTCCCAAAGTTCATTCATACACCAGGGATAAAGCCCCAGTGATTGCCGAGGCCTCCTCACGGGCACCCACACTCAGGGGGTCTGGATCAGTCCCATGCTGGCCTCTGGGGCTCATGAGCTCCCCCTTGTTCAGGTCAATTATTTCTGTGGGTTTCAACAACCTGGTCTTGCCCCCTTTGCTCATCACTCCTCCCTCTCTGCAACTGAGCTCCAGGAGTTGAGTTCAGTGTTTAGCTGTGGGTGTCTGCCTCTGCTTCCAGGATGGCGTATAAGATAGTCATCAATCTCATTATTGGGGAAGGGCATTTAAGGTAGCCTCTCCACTATTGCTCAGATTGCCAGTTGGTGTCATCCTTGTAGATCTGTGGAAATCTCACTAGTGCCAGCTCTCTCCTCAAACCTGTAATGGCTCCCTCTATTATGATATTTCTCATTCTGCTCTCCTCTGTTCTTCCCCCGACTCAACCTTTCTGCTCCCCCATGTCCTCCTCTCCCTTCCTCTTCTCCCCCTCTCTTTTTCCCAGCTCCCTCTCTCCTTCCCCCATGCTCCCAATCGGCTCAGGAGATCCTGTCCCATTCCCCTTCTCCAGGGTACCAAGCATACACTCCCAACTCTTATTTCTTCAAGATCCTTCTATTCAAATTCTACTCAGAAATAACCAAAACCTCCTCCAGAAACACTCACTTAAAAGTTTCTCTCCCTTGAAAAAGCTTAAGGCTTACAAAATGCAGGACTAAGACCACGTTGTAGGGATTGAATCTAGGTCTTTGCATGTGTTAGAGATATGTGTTCAACTTCTAAGCTTGCATCCCAGCCTTTGGCTTTTTGAGATAGGCTGCCCTTGAACTTCTGGCCTTCCTACCTTAGTTTCTCCAGTGCCAGGTGTGCAGAAGTGTGCTCCCAGGCCTGGATTGTAGCAGTACATTTTAATAGATTCTGGAAGCCATCAGATGGCTGAGTGAATGTTAGTTTTTGCCTTGATTTCCAGAGCTGAACAACAGCAGCAAAAATCAGAACTGGTGTTTTCACTGTCTGGTGTTAGCTCAAAAGAGCCAGCTACCGTGTTTGCTCAGTATACATGTTCATATGGAATTCACAGCCAGGCTAGAAATTCTGCAGAAACATTTGTCAGTTGAGCAAGTATTTGTCCCTACAGAAACATACATTGATCAAAAATCTTGTCATCAAAGAGTTATTCTAATTTTCTTTTGAAAGGATGAAGTGACAGCACTGTCATTTTTACAGAATCCGGGAATCACCAATAGGACAAGATTCTGAGTGTATCTGTGGGCATTTTCTATATTAATTTTCTAGGTGAATTAACTGTGGTTTGCACCATCCTATGGGCTGGTGCAATAAAAAAGGAAAGAAAGCTGACTATCAATGTTTATCTCTCTGTGTGCGCTACCTGACTATGGAGACCATGTGACCAGCTACCTCACTTCCCTTCCCTGCCATGATGGACTATGTCCCTTGAGCCATAACCAAAATAAAGTCTTCTCCATTAAGTTGTTTCTTTTCTGGTATTTGGTCCCAACAATGACTAAAGTAACCAACACAGACACCCAGAGCAACACCGGTACCCCCCAGCAGAGCTCTCGGCTTTGACATGGGATTATCACTTGGCATAGCACAGAGTGTTTTTCAAACACACATGGAATAAGACATGTTCTGTCACCTGTGCCTCCATGTACTATCCGTGACACTAAAGCCTGAAGTCAGAGAACACAGCAGCACCTGAAGGTGACCCCCAGGAGTGTTTTCAACCTGAAGAGCTGCCAGATGTGTCTCAGGCAGATGTTGGGAGAGCTCCAGAGCACATCCCCTGCCAACACAGACATGTCTCTGGAAGGGTTCTGGCTCCCATAGACTGTGGGTTTTGTGGGTGGTGCTGAGAGATATAACACACCAGCTGAAGCCAGGGCCTGACTTGGCAGCGTTGTTGGGTTCTCTGGAAATGCTGATGGGCAGGCTGCCTGACTGGCAGCAAGGGAGCCTCTGTGGCATGCAACATGTGCAACAGGTACCAAACACATGGGTACAGACTTGCTGAGCAAAGCTGTCTGGTGAGAACAACCTTAATTCTTGCCAGTTTCTGAAAACATTTGATCACCTCTGTCATGCTTTTCTTAATTCTTTTTCTGGTATTACACAGGGTTACATAAGACCACATTTATGCAAGCATATAATAGACTTAGAGTACATTTCTTCCACACCCAGCCCCCTTTTCCACTTTAACTTTTCTAAGTTGGTCCCTTCATTCCTATAGACAGATTTACTTCTATTTCCCTGCTACCCCTACATTCTTGACTGTATCTGTACAAAATCTAGGATCCAGGGGCTGGTTCAGCACTAAGAAGCACTTACTGATCTTGCAGAAGACCTGTGTCCTACACATTCATGATGACTCATCATCACCTATAACTCCAGCTCCAGGACCTCCAATGCCCCCTTGTGACTTCCAGTGGCCTGTGATGCACATCCAGGCACTCGGGCACACACACACACATACACACACACACACACACACACACACATACACACACAAAATAAACATCTAAGATCCGCAAATGAGAGAAAATGTGATCTTTCTCTTTCTTAGAATGACTTAATTTTCCTAATATGTTTATCTCCAGTTTCTGGAAGATTACATAACTTCATTTCTCTTTATGGCTAAAAACAATACCATTACATATTTATGTTGTATTTTTCAAATAAGCAAATCATTATTTTCTTCCTCAACTTAGAATTCATTATCTTCCCACCTCTCATTTGGGTTAGTTCTAAATTCTAGAATGTTCTTAGGAAACTGAGTCTGGAAGGAAGTGAGATGTCCTCATGGTATGTCTGATATTTTCCAGGAGCTCTGTGTTTTTGTGTGTAATAGTGTGTGTCTGAGTGTGTGTGTGTATCTGAGTGTGTGTGTGTGTGTGTGCATATATGTGTTTGGATGTTGTAGTGGTTTTAATGGTAAATGTTCCCGGTAGGCTCAGGTATTTGAATATTTTTCCACTTGGTAACAGTTTATGGAAGTATGGCCTTGCTGGAAGAAGTATATCACTGGAGTTGGGCTTTGAGATTTTGTAGCCTCACCCCACTTGCAGTTTGCACTCTGTTTAATACTTATGGCCAAAGATATGATTTCTCCATTTCTTGCTCCTGCCTCTACGTGTGCTACTTGCTGCCATGCCTCCCTGCCATGACAAACTAATCCATCTGGAATTCTAAGCCAAAGTAAACTGCCTTCCTTAAATTGTCTTTCATTGTGGTATTCTATCACAGCAACAGAAAAGTGCTTATACACACACGTGCTCTCTCTCTCTCTCGTGTGTGTGTGTGTGTGTGTGTGTGTGAACTTCTACATTCTCTCTAACATAGGATCTGCTTTTCCTTTTAATGACCTTATCAGAAATAGCAAATAAAGAACTGGAGATTTAACTCAGTGGTCAAGTGTTTGCCTAGTATTATTTGACCTTGGGTTTGATTTCCCAGTACTTCAGGAAATTGGGAATAAAGAAAGATAGTATTTCTTAGCTTCTTCTAGCAACTACACATGACATGTATATCAAAGGAGAGTACTGGCCTCTGTGGCCCTATTATACATGGTCATTTCTCTAGTCTGCTGTTTGTCTCCTGATTTAACCTTAAAATGTAATCTATCTGTCTGTCTGTCTATCTATATATCAACTATCTATATATCTATCTCATACTCTCCTTTGAAACAAATTATTGTTATGTCTCCCAAGCTGGTCTCAAACTCATGACCTTCCTATCATAGCCTACCCTATGGTGGGATTATAGATGTGTGCCATTGTGCCTCACTGGCCCCTCTCCTTTAA